CAGTGATTAACAAATTTCATATTAAATTCAAATCATTTATGTTGTTATTTAAAGCGAATGCGTTACACAGCAATTATCTGTAGGGCAACATTTGGTTGATTAGAGTTTGTGTGCGCTTTTATTTATTTCAATTATATCATTTCGCCTATAATTTGCTTGATTTCTTAATAATTTACTCCCGAGTACTTTAAGTTTATTTTATTTTTTGTGTCGTTATATGATTGATATAAAGGAAAAAGTCCTACGATTTTTTTTTTTTCCCCATAAAGCTTCTTAAGATATTATTTGATATTAGTTTTGAAACCAAATGTTGACTTCTCTCTTGTATATAATAGTTTAGTTGCAAAGTTCTCGCTGCGTTACTATGATTGTGATTGTAGTAATATATATATATATATATATATATATATATATAGGTAATAAGTAAAACGAAATTTTATTAAATATAACAATTTTTATATGTATTTCATATGCAATATAATTCGCAACAAGTAACATATAATATATATAAAAGAAATTTCCCATTTCTCCAACAAAACTCCGTTTTTATTATTAATATATTTAAAGAGTTTTATTTAGGTTTATTTTTTTGAATTTTGCTTCTTTTCATTAAAGATTGAAAGATTGTCAAGTTCATATATCTAAGTATGCGACTGTGTATGTATGTATATGTGTATGTGTGTGTATGCGTTCAATTCAATTCATCAAATCATCTTTATTGTAACTACATATGTATTTTCTCTCAAACATTTTTAGTTGAATTGCATAAAGGAGGACTTCGCCGAGAAGAAGAGACGCGTCTAGGTTAAATAGGATTTTTCAAATTTTTGGTAACATGACGGAGGCGGAGTATAAAATATATATGTACTTATATTCTTAACTAGAGTTCAATTAGATTCGGTAATCGGTCCGTCTGTTTATCGTTTGGTATCAGAATGTGAACATGTGAACGGAAAGCCTATTGAGAGAAAGCTAAAAATCGCTATACGAAAATGCTGAAGGTAATCATAGATACCGATCTGCCATCAGCTGACGGTTCTCGTGATCGAGCAAATTCGATATTGACTTCACATTTTCAGTTGATGGTATTCGATAGCATATGAGTGTTTGCTCGATATCGCGCGTAAAATATCAAAAGGACTATTAAGCAAAACATGGTTATGAAAACAACCATGTTTGACAAAATTGAAAATGTTCGAAAAAGTAATAAAATCAAATAATTATTTTCGATGGTTTTATTTGTCGGTATTGCAAAATTTGAAAAGGGATAAATGAGTTAACCAAAAAATTGATGTGAACGATAGAAAGCGAGAAAATATAGGATTACTAGACACTAAGTAAGCACTTTGGAAATGTTAACTTCCGAATCGGTTCGATCAATATACCTAGTCAAAGGAGAGGGACCACAATTTAGGTCTACAATTCTGCGATATCAACATTCAAGCCAACTCTCTTTATAAAGCGATAGTCGGAAAACATAAAACTGGATAAGGATAAGGAAAAAAGCAAACGGAAGAAGAGAGGGAGCTACACCATAAATATAGATGTTATAAAACTGTAATTAGCCATTAAGAAAAAAGAAATTGTCAATTTAAATAAACAATTTATTAAACTTTACTTTGTATGACTTCAAGTTTTTTCATCGCTTTCTTTCCCAGATTTTATATATTATTTGAATATTTATTTATGTTTCTCCCGCTTCTATACATTTTTTTGTTACGTGCACACCACGATGATACCAGAAATATGATGATACCAAATATGATGATCGACAATTCAAACTCAATACAAAAGTAATCGAGTATCATCAATCCAAACTGCGATTGTATCGTTTTTATACTCATAACCCAAGGATGGGGTGTATTTGTTCATTTTGTTGAAACGTTTCCAACGTCCGAAAGGAAGCTCTAGAGACCTCAGAAACTACGTATATATTCTGAATCAATTTAAGTATGTCTGTCTGTCCGTCACATAAGTTACAATGCATGTGGCAAATAAATTTCCATAATGACAAATTGGAAAGAAGAGAAAATCAGTTGCGCCCTCTTAATATCATAGAATATGGAAATGTAGTTCTTTTCCTCTTTTTTTACGATCACGTCGATGGGCGAAAAAGATTTGGTCACGGCCGGATATAATTTTTTTACTTGTTGTCTTTCATATCATACTCTAGCTCGATGACGAGAAGCGTAAATCGGTCCCTGATCGTGGCACATTGATTTAGTCGCGACTTTTAAAATATCAATGCAAGCATAACCAATCTTATGCATATTATCAACAAGTCCTTGATATATATTGGGCGAGATATTTCGATTTATATACATAGCCATCAAATAGCGAAAATATATCCATTTTCCCGATCAAGCCTTAGACAGTGGTCTAAGCAAATCAATATGGAAGATTATTGAAACGGTACATGTGCGCGCATGTGACTGGGTATGTGTGTGTTTGCCTGTATCTGTAATAAGGAGAGTAATTTGGATTTTTGTTTTGACTTGCATTTAATTTAGATTACTATAGGCGAGTTCCACTTTATATGTATTTAGTGTAAAATATTTTTTTAATTGCATAGAGAGCATTATTTTCATTTTACTATTCTTTTTTTTTAAAACACTTTATTAATTTGTTTAAATTTTACGTTAGGGTAATAAAGTTGAAAATTTTTGGTTTATCTGCAAAAGCAACATATTTATCGAATATGTTTTTATTACAAAATATTATTTTATTCTATGTTTTGCTACGTTTTTATACCCGTCCATTTGACTTTAGAGAAAATTGAGAGACCATTGTATGTAATGTTGTTGTTAAATACTATTTACTAAATAGTAAATACTTGTCCTAAATTGATTATTGCGATCGTAAGAAATTTGAAAGCTCTTAGAGAATACATATGGATCGTGAACCTTAACCGTCTTTTCAATGAAAGTGGGAAAAGTCAGTCAGCTCGAAATTATCGAAAAAAACAGAGATATTTAAATTTTAGGTTATCAATGAAGTAAGCGCTTCAAAATATCAGGGATCGCACCGGGAAAACTACAGAAATATATGTAATATAAATACCTTTGGCATATAAAAGTAAATGGAAATACCGAGTTATCTGCGGTCTATTTCCGTCATGAAAAGTCTATAAATAAGTTTTGGCGCTGTTTTCGATTTGTGGTTTTGCATTTCAGGCTCTCTTTCACACTGTTTGATGATTTGCATGATGCTCTCAAAAGTCAGATAGCTTTAAGCTTCGGCCTTATTTTTACAATGAATCCATACATAGGTGGAATGCTTATGGAGAAACGTTTACCAATTTATCAGGAATATGTATATATAATGGGTTTTTTATGCCTATCACTGAACCTTGACTGATAGACTGTCTTTATGCCCATCACTGAAGGATGTATATTCATTTTACCAAAACGTTTGCAATGTCTAGACGGAAGCATCATAGCATTTGGTCCACATCAAATTTTGAAACGATTTACGCATTTCCCTCTGTCCGTCTGTCCAACTGAGTAATGCCTGTTATATATATTCTTCTGGCGGCAAAGATGAAGCTACCGATTTCAAATTTGCCAGACATATTGGAAGCTTTTGCACACCAAATAGTTTTTCAAAACGAATAAAAAATTGGTAGTACTCTTAAATTGCGTATATTCCATAGGTGATGCTGTAGAATATGTACAAAAGTGGGCAAAATTGACCACGTCTACCCAATACTATAGTGTATTAAAATTTAATTTTTATTTCAATAGCTTTAGAAGGCGCAGAAACGTGCTCCAAAATCTTAATGAAGCATACAAAATCTTAGCCATTTTCAAATTTGGAATGCATCTAAGCAATCCTCATCTGTTTGTCTACCGAACTAAGAGCTAATAAAATCAACTCAGGGATCACTCAGGGATATAAATCACTACATGTGGAAGTTACATGAATTCGCCTGTAGCAAGTAAGAAAATTATATTCAGCTATAGCTGAATTTCTTGTGCCTGCCAGCTTTGTCTTGGAAAATAACTCAAGGAAAATGGAGTTTAGATACTTCATACAGTATAGTTGGCTGTTCGAAAATTTTTCCCATTTTTGCACAGTAATTTTAATCCAATATATAGGATATAAGCGAAAATGTTGGCCCTTGTATCAGATGTAATGTAGAAAACCCTTTTATTTTTCCATTGAGAAGAAAGCTGTTCTTGTCTTATTTTGCGTTGCACGTGTGCCCAACGTAGTTCATTTTCCGATGTTTTTGCCAAATCTGTGAAACCGGCGTCTTCATTTTTGCGATCAAAAGAATTGTACACAGACGTACAGAAGGACATGCTTAAAAAGATTCAGAATTTGGTACTAATTAACAATATGATATATATCAATATACATATATATCAATCTATATATATACATAATATATATATATTTATATATATATATACATAAACCTGAAAAGATACGTGATGGTCTTCTGCTCACTTTTTTTTTGCCAATCATTATTACAATTCTCAGAGCCCCAAAAATGAATAGAGGAATTGAATTATGATATTTCCACAAATCAATTTGAAAGATGAGCAGGGAACGTAATATATAATAGATAAAGAAAGTTGAGATGATCTCATCCCAAGTCCACTAAAAATATTTATTAGAATGAGAAAAGGGAAAGAATTTGTTTCGATTAGCTGACACGCGCTCATAGTTCACGAAATTCGCCTGAAATATGGGCTTAGAAGATTAGTTCACAGACGATTCGAATTTTCTTAAAATTGTTTATAGATTCAAGTTTTATATGAATAAAAATTCTCAAAAAAATAATTTTTTAAATGGAAATCTGATCTGTTAGGTGGAAAGAAGCATTCTAGCATTCGATATTCAATATACAAGGTTAATATTCTTCTAGTTGTGGGTATTTAATATTCTGCTTACGCCAAATTTAATGTTTTTCCTTAATACTTCAAAGAATTTTCTTACTTTTTTAATTTATTGTATTATTTTTGGTGTTTTTGTCAATATATTTGTGTTAAGATGTTTAAAATATTTCATTTATGCGATATATGAATAAATGTTTCAAAGCTGGAATAATGATAAGGAAATGTACCCTAAACTCAAACCTGCTGCAATGTGTGAGCGACACGTCTGATAAAATTCAGATTTATGAGATCAATTTAGTATTATATAATATTTGAGAAATATCCATTCTCGACATCTTTTACAGATGAAACGAGGCGTTCTTGTTTAAAAGTGACGATAGGTTTTAAGGCTTGAATAGCATTCTGTGTTTTTTTTTTTTTAATTTTAAGAGAATTTTGGAGTTTGGAAGCTTTGTCTTTTGCGAGCAGTTAAATTTTTGTTGGGCCTAAGATAAAAAAACCTTTTATTTAATTTTCCCAAAAGTTCTACCTCAACATGTATTGCAGCAAACTTTCATCCTTCTTATCATTCTTTATATATTCATATCTTTCTCATTATGGAAGAATTGAGTAAACGCAACAGATCTCTTTCTTCCGGGCCTCTTAAAATGGTAAAATTGTTTTTAAAATTAGAAAAAGAAAAGACGTCCGCATTGGTATAGTTTGTTGCCGGTAAAGAAAAGCAACAAATTTTCCTTTTAGAAATGCGATGCATTTTTCGCTATGAATGGAAAATGTCCTGAATATAAAATGTGCTGCGAAAATGATTTTTCACCATGATCCGATCCATGTCTAGAAAATATCTTAACATTTTTATTGAAGCATTTCCTATTAAGCTATGATGTTTGCTATAATTTTTGGTTAATTTTTGGATTTTTCTTTTCAAGGTTCTACACGCAATGAAATTATTAGCGATTTATGTGCAGAGAGTGTTGATCAGACTTTTGAGACAGAAATTGTGATTGCCATTAACACTAGTATTAATCAAATTGTACATATATCTATTTCTATCCAAGGGAATGAATTTGACTCACTTTGGATCACTTTTTTTTGCACAATCCCTACACTCGCAAATAATTAAGATAGGAAGTAGTGTCCTTACGGATACGTCTACGGAAAGGAACTATGAAAAAAAATCTGTCCATGTGCTCTAGACATTGTTCAGGACTTTGAAGATCGCTGCAAAAACGCATTCGCACTCCCGCTTTGGCAGAAATAGATACATGTCATCAGTGTGCAAGTATTGTTTTCACAATGGAAAATTCAAGTGAATGAAATTGCGTTACGCGATAGTTGTACAGTGTTAACATGATAAAGCAAATTAACGCTAATATAACTGAAAGCCTTAGGTTTGATTTTGTCCATTTTGTATCATTTGTAATAATTATGAATGCGAAGGAGTTTTCGTCTCCTCCACGCTTCTAGTATTAACATCTTCATAGTAAACTCATCTATGCGACACTTGAATGCATTACGTATTTTATGTAAATATTATATAAATTGTTATTATGAAACCTAGAGGTAATAGAATGATCTTAAGAAATGGAATACATTAAAAGAAGTGTTATAATTTAACGCGAAAGAAATGATTAATAATCGGGCAAAATGAATGCTAAAATATCATTTCCCATAATAAATGATTTAATATTTAAAATTAATTTCATATATTCTATAAAATTAATAATGGTCCTGCTTAAGTTAACTGAATGAGCCTTTAATAAATTATTGTGTTTGCTTGGTGTACGTGTTGTGTTAATGCCGAAATCGTTGTTGCTCTTGTTGCCGAGAATTTGCTTTGGAAGCGTAATCGGTCAAGGAGAATTATCGGAATCGGAACCACCATACGAATGCATAGGAAATAATGGATACCAGCCACCAATGTGTTGAGCGATATTCACCTTGTCCAAGTTGACCTCAGTGCCGCCTAAGCCCTGATTGTGCTCGAAGCCTACGCAACGTTGCCAGAGCATAATGACTATGTTCCGGCCAAACACATCGGAGCTCTAAAATGTTAATTGCAATACTTAAATTTAATTCGAATACTTAATATATATATGTATATATGTGTGTATTTATGAATATATACAAGCGTATAATGCACGGTTTATCTTTATAGTTATTAGTTACAAATTATTTACAGATATTCTTGTAACTTTGCTTTACTATTAAAAGGAGACCAACAATGGTTAAGTAACAAAAAATGCTTTCATGCAATGCATGTGCAAAGAATTTAAATGAAAATAACTTTCAACGCATTCCATACATACCTGGTATTTAATGGTTTGTTTGTAAATAGGCTCGGCTGCATGGCGGACCACACGTGTTTTCTTTTTGTGACGTAGGCGATCGCCATCCTTTATGTAACATTTTACATACGTATCTGGTGGTGTTTCACAATCGACAGCCACAATATTTCGAGCGCAGACAACCTACATTTAATATGTAAAAAAGTTATATTTTTCTTCATCCGAAACTTTTTTAACGATTACCACACATTTATATGTAAAAATTGTGTGTCATTAGGAAGTTCGAGACCACTGCTACACTACTACACTCTTTATTAAGATGACTCTTGGGAATCCTTCTGACCGAAATTTAGATTGTAATTTGCTATAACTTAGAGGCGAAGGCATGACGTCCACATTTCTGGTGCATTGAATTTTCAGAACCAACATTGTTAATTATAGGAGGCCGCTTGTGTCTTTCAATTCCCATAATCGCGAGCGTTGCAACAATAAAAAAACGGACAGACGTATGGACGGATGGATGGATAGATGTGTAGAAAGCCAGCCTACAGAGGAACAAGCTCAGCGGCTAAAGTAAAAAAATAGTACCAACAAGTCAAAGAGCACACATACAACGCCTACACGTTTATACGATCAATACTGAGAACACCTTTGGCTTCCGGGTCTTTAGCTTGTTACTCATAAACTGCAACAGATACGTGATGTAAATTTCCACAAAATTATTCGACAAAATTAGGGAAAATCAGTTACACCCACCCAATATTCTGGCGTATCCAACTTTATAATTCTCATTTATTTCAATCTTTTCTAGGAGAGCTGTGATGGGTATAAATGAGTCGGTCGCAACCATATATGATTTTCTTATTTGTTTCTTTCCATCAACTCATTCTAAACGTAGATGAATTGTCTTAGAATTTTGCCTTGATCAAGAATATATATATATGCCTTATGAGACATTAAGTAAATAATGCCGTGTGTTGCAAAAGGATGGTCATATGCAGTTTATTGAATTTTTGTAAGACAAGATTAGTTTATAATAGACTGTGGCAGCATATATATGTATATATATATATATATATATATATGTATGCAGATGTTTATTTCTAAACTTGTACCATATAATAGTGATTTTTGAGATTTTTTTTCCATTTCTAAGTTTTAAGTGAGTCTTTTAATCGAATTCAGCAGATCTTTGTACTTAATCTTTACAAAACGGATAAGCGAAGTTTCGAGATCAAACTTGCTCTTCCAGATGTAGTTGGTAAGGCATGTTTTTCGTCGCCCACGCACGCACATACCTAAAAAACCAGACGCAGAGAAAAAATATAATGTACGATGATCGCGAATGTCTTAAATTTACCCTTAGTCGCATGTATAACCCGTGAAGGATATGGAAATGAAAAATTTTTTTTTTGAGCGAAAGAAAAATTAAAAAATTATTAGTTAAAAACATATTTAAGAGTCTGCTGCTTAACCTAGTGGATAAGACGATGCTCGCGGACTGAAGTCTCAGTGTGCTTTACGCCATAGTTCGTCGCAACTTTGATTGCCTAACCAATAAAGACACTACCGACTATATATTATTTTAACGCGATCGGCCACACAGCCGCTACGCTGTGGTCATTCCCTATCTCTCCCTCTGTCACCACTTGTTTCTACTCATTAGCACGTTCTACGTATTTAACAAAAAAAAAAAAAAAAAAAAAAAAAAAAAAATTTTTTTTCTCAGTTCATTTCAATTTACGTTTATAAAAGAAAGGATATATCTAGATGCAGATATACATACCTCGACCTCCACCGTACCCTTGATTTTAACGAAACCCATTTTAAGCTCGCCATGACGTGCACTTGTTAGACGATAACCTTTGGGATGTATTTGGCCTGGACCCAATTGTAAGCCGTAATCAGTTGACATACCAGTAATAATATTTGATGTTGTCGATAAGCTGCCACTTGAATCTGATAGAGAACTAAGATTTTTCGCGCTAGCATTATAAATTGGTTTGCGAGCTGCATTTGGACTTTCAGTTGTTGCAGTTAAATTCATCACACTATTCTTGCGGACTGGATTAGGGGAGTCATGCGTAATAGTGGCCGTTCTTGCCCCTACATAAATACTGGCTTTCCTTTGACGCGGTCCCGGACTTTCAGTTGAGTTTAATATGAATACACTATCTTTACGCGGCTGATTTTCATTGGTCCCCAAATTAAATATACTACCCTTGCGCATATTATGCGGGATCTCTGGCTGTTGTAAACCGCGATAATATTGCCGCTCCTGTACCCCTTGAGAAACATTTGTAGCCGACGATGCCTGCTTTAGCATAGACAGAGCTTGTTTAACCGTTTGAGGTGGCAAATTCGTACCGCTTCCTCTCCATTTCGGTGCGAAGCGTTTTTCTTCATCATCTGATGGGGGACTTGTTGCGCTATTTCCTAAGCCTACGGGTAATTGCTTTTGCGCCAAATCGAATATTGAATTTTTGCGACTGCTTGGATTGCTGGGTACGCCAATACGACTGTGTCCTAGTTTTTTTGTTACATTAAAAAAAAAAAAAAAAAAAAAAAAAAAAAAGAAGATTGAACATCAAACGTATGAATAGTTAAATTTTCAAAGTCACTTCAATTTGTTAAAAGACGGAATAAAACTTACAAATTTCAAACAAATTGGTGAAGAAATGTTAACATTTTACAAGACAATAACAAAACATGAACAAGACAAGAATTACATTATACGGCAGATATACATTAACGAAATTAGTTAACGCCATAACAAAGTAAAGGCAATGTTAATGCAAGAGGTTTTAAAGCCATCTTATTCACTTACCCAATTAATTAACTTGTTATTAACAAAAATACTCTGGATATATGTATGCCTTCTTTCCAGAAACAACAACAATTACCTTTTATACCTTACTTATAATGTTTAAAATACTCATAAAAAAAAAAAAAAAAAAAAGAAAAAGAAATCATTAATTAACAGCGTTTTATGTATGTATTTATGCTACCCGTGGTGTGTTGTAGATAATCTCAATTCAATTAATCGGTTACAACAACTACAAATTGATCGGGTTTTCTCTTTATTGCTGGCTTTCAGAAATCACTTGAAATTGATTTTCTGCTTCCTCGTCGCTGCTCCTCCGTATCGTATAGTACTCAAAAGTGGATATTAAGAGCATTCCTGAGCATACATGTATGTAAACTGATTTGGCGGTTAACCAAAGATAGAAAACAGTCTATGGTAAAATGTTTTTAATTAAAGTAAAAACTAATGTGAAATAAATTTTGCATTCCATGAATTTATATATATACTGCCATCTATCTATACGTTTATGTTCGTGGAAAGAAGCAACTTTATATCTCAATAAGGCACAATCTGGTGTCATTCTCATGAAGACGCCATAAAGTGAATTTTGAGACAGCCTTTGCGTTATGGTGCAATTTATAATAACAATATGTTCAACTTGAGCGATATTTTTTTTATCGCATAAAATATTTGCTTTAATTTTCCCCTTGCTTCGTGTTCCACTATGTTTGCTTGGTACGAGAATATTACGAAGAGTCTAAACGATTGTTTACCATGAGCGAGAATTAGATTTGATATAAAAAATATATGGCTAATGTGCAAAGAATATTGTATCGTGTCATGTCTCTTGATTAACCTTAAAAGCAACAAACGAAAAGCAGTCACCGTACGTTACAATGGGCTCGTCTTTATTAAAAAGATACTTTGCATTGCCTTTGAGGTTCACTTGAACTTTGAACTTAAATATCTTGATTATTTCACAGTGCATTTCCAAAAAGAGTTTTTTTTTTCTTTTTCTTACTTTACTTAAATCAACAATTAACATTAGTAAAGGAGATGTTTGTGAATTTGCAGGTAGGATTCCGGCGTCCTATACCGGAACGACCCAATCGAACCAAAATTCGAAATAGAGACACGTTGATGATGTGCAAACCATTTCAGGACCATAGTGACAATATCACGTTTAGTAATTTCGTTACGAGTCACGGACTGAGTCATAGTAAAAGCAAACCTATTGTCATCAAATTTAATGAAAATACCAAAATCGATCAAAACACATGGCTACCATGCACCATAGACCGAGAACATCTCTGCTCTCTGGGTTTTTGATCGTTACTCGTTATAAAAATTTCCATGTGCACAAATGGAAATTTAATTTTTTCTCTCTCTTTTAGGCTAAGCGTGGCGGATAGAAAAAATTCCACTCACAGAACATAATTTTCTTACTTATTTTATTTTGGAAGATCGTTTTACTTTTATGTAAATGTATATAATGTTTTGTGTTTGAATAAATAAATGAATTTAAATGATAAACAAGTTCCTCGCTAAGATACGGGATTCCTTTCTGATTATGAGCCTCATTTAATTTTCTTTAGGACGTAAAACTAATTGATGGCATATGCATTGAACACTCGACAAAGCTTGTCAAAGCGTGCACAATCTGCATCAATAAATACATTTTTTCTCATCTTTCAAATGCAATTTGAATTATGTCTATAGTGGATTCAGTGCTCGGAGTATTCAAATCTACGCAATATAATAGGTGCTTGCATGTATTTTGATCATTTTTTTTTTTTACTTCAGTAATGCATTCGTTGAAACCCCCATTCGAGCTACAAATGTGTACCCTTGACAACTTTTGCAACGTGTGGCCGAGCGTTAGCAAGGAAGAGGATGACTTTGCGTCTGTTAGCCGCTATTGTTGGTCTTCTTCGCAGTAACACAGCGTTCAGTTTGTTTAATGGACATCGATACCCATCTGCAGTAATAGATTCATTCGGTTTTAGGAGTGCGTGATAGACTACCTCTTGTTGATATCCCGCTTCGATATCGATGTGACTGGCTCTTCTGAATTAACTCATGATTTTGTGAGTTTAGGATTATCGTAGTGGATCATCGCCACTTTTCATCGCTAGTCACATTACGCCTCAGAAAACTTTTGCTTTTTTGCCTGGTAAGCAATGAAACCGCGAATGCTGAAAGGGTTCGAAATAACAACTTTAGTCAATTCGCATCGTAGCCATTTTCACTCCGTTCGAGTTATTCGCATCACTTGGAAACGTCTAACAACAGTTTATTCGTCAACTACTAAGCTGTTCTTTGATCTTTGCCATTGACCTCAAAATCATCATTTTTAAAACCTTGAAATCAAAAACCGACAATTGGGATATGATGAAGCGGTAATACCATAGGCTTCCAAAGGTGTTCGATGGATTTCAACAGCAAAAGACTTCTTCAAGTTAAACAACGAAAATACTGAATATCGAGAATGCAATTTTGAACGTTCCACGATTAGCGTCTGTATGCAAAGAATAACTAACTAAATAACTTGAAATGGAAAACTGTTGTTTTATTTAGGGAAAGGTCAATATCATCGAATTTAATCTTTGTGTCAATTGATGCTTTACATTTCTTTATTATTTTCACAAACAGATGTCGCTGATCAAAATACATGCAAGCGCCTAATCCTATTAAAGCAATATTTCGTTATTAAATTTCCTGCTAAATAAATACTCAAATTAAAATAATAGACCTACGCGAGCAATAATAATTTAAAAATCACGACGAACCACGTTTGGTTTTTTTTTATTTTTCTGAATTTAATGCAAGTTATTCATTGCATATTGATAGTCAGTGTTATAAAAATTAAAAATGTTGTTCTTTTATTTTTAGTGATGAAGGTCTCTTTGTGTACTAGGTCTACGGCATTCTAACAATTCGAAGTGTGTCTGATTTTAAGCTTAAAACTTCTGCACAAGGAGGCAGTTATCTTTACATGCTATATATATATATATATATATACTAATTTTTAAGGATATGATGTAGTAAATAGATATGTCCACTTTTTTTTCTCTGCAAGACGCGCCTTTGTTATTTGTGTATATCTAGTACAACCATTTCCGTGGAAATCCGGCAATTTAAAGGGTAGCTTTTGTGTACCACCACAGTCACAAAACGAAGACAAGATGCTGAAATTTGACAAAAAAAAGCTTCCTTGACCGATTAAGAAGATGAAGTTTAAACATGAAAGTGATCTGTACACATACACATCCACAAAGAGGTAGAAACTAAAACAGCCTCGGAGGACAGGGACGGACGGTTTTTTCAAATTTTCCTTTACAGTGTATATATTTGTGAAGAGTTGCTATCCAAACGTTCGCTGGAATAACGTGAATTCTCGATGCAATAAGAAACTCGACCGATGTACAAACGCGTCTGCATTTAACGACAAAATGGACGGATTTCGTAAAAACAGGTATTTGGCAAATGTCAACAATTACCGCGCAATCATCGCTTGCTTCGGAGTAAGAGTAATCCACAGAAAATCTACGAGGGTCTATTGCATACTTGAAAAATGTACTATGTGGTAGTTGTTACATGAATTGCACGCCCATATTTTTTTAAAAGTCAAGATCGAATGCGTCTTACGGATCGTTACGAATCAATGATTAGCGTTTACTTGTATGTATATATATGTGTTTACTTATAAATACGTAGTAATGGAAAATTTCAATAATGACTAGAATTCTCGTAGCTGCATTTTTCATCAAACGCTTTCAACCGAAATTTTGAATTTTATTTATCAATAACGCGCCGTGTTCGGTTGATTTTTCCCGATATTATATCTGGATACACGTAAAATGCATTTGCTATTGAAAGGAAAGCGTTATGCCATAGTAAAGGCATAATACCTTATTCGCCGATAGGTTGGAACGGAATAACCCGGCTTTTACACATTCGGTGGTTATGCTCGCTTTTGACAAAATATTTGACTTTTCCAAGTCAAACTGACATTAATGGATGGTGCCAGTAGAAGGTGCAATTCACTTTAGATTCTACCTTGTTCGTGATAGTCAGGAAGATGGAATAGTTTTGACAAAAAAAATTAATAATTTTAAAATATTTTTGTTATTCATGATATTGAGAGTACTTGTCTGATGTCTAGGCCATATAAGAGACAATTTATGTGATTTACCTTTTTTTTTTTTATTGATTTGAAAATTATAATAAATTATCTTTCGTTTGAAGGGATCAACAAAAGAAAAAAAGGAAAAAAAATTTTATTAGCTGGGGATGTAGAGGAGGAGTGGAGGAATATATTTGTTACTATCCTTACTATCCTATAAACTCGATATGCACATAACAATATAACAGTCAATATTTAAATGGTTTTGGTAAAGCACGTTAGCACACACACATGTATATGCGCATACATACATACTAGTCAAATAGATTTACTGCTTAGAAGCAAGAGAGCGATTGTATTTAGCTTAATTCGTTATTTTCAATACATGCCGCATGTTTGCCTACTTGCGCGAAAACATGGAAGAAGAGGAGAGGAGAGGAAGTGAAATCGAATTTAAGTTTGAGTTCAATAATTCAGGGTACCAGCTTCGGTTCCGGAAGAATGGCAGATGGACGCGGCCTTCCTTTCGGGTGTATGTATGTGTCGCGTACATTTCGTTTTGGAAAAAAAGTTATGTTCGCATTAAAACATTTCATTATTCGCTGGCGTGTGGGTTGGCCGATCAAAGTCTGCATTGAATCTGTTTTGCAACGCAGAAGAAGAAGACTTTCAGTCTCTTTTCTTTTTTTTTTTCTTGCGGTAAATAAAGAATTATGTTTTGTATCATATTTGATGTTTGGTAGTAAAATATTAACCCTTAAGTTACCAGGGCACCACGAAACGAAAAATGCTTATGATTGCCTTGAAAATTTGTAAAGCGTCAGAGATGTTGTTCGGAATACGACTGGGCGATCATATGCAATTTATTTGCTTTTCGCTGTGTATTGCTGGACGTTCTGGAAGTCATAGAATAAATTTAGTATACTTTCACTCTTACTTTTGCTTGGTTTAACACATTGATGCTCATTTTAAAAGTAGTGAGTGCTTCCACAAACACATTTTAGTTTTTTTTTTTTTTTTTATTTTAATACTAAGAATAATAGGACTGTTATAGACGTCGTGTGCATCTACAAGCACACGGAATGAACGTCTTTAGACGTCATTTACGTCAACGGATTAACCGAAAATAATAAATTCAATTGTAACAATGCAGAAATTCAAGGCGACAACGAGAAAAAAAAAAAAACACAACATCAGTTAATAGTAAGCGAATAAATATATAACGATATTTTTACATTTTTCAATAACATTAGATTAAGGGGGAACAAACAACTGGCAAGCAAAGAAACAAAGAAAGAAATGAAGCGTGACAGCAAGCAGGCATTCTTACCATGAAACATTCTTTTCATTATTTTTGCATACAGTTTAATAATTGCTTGTGATTTTAGACTATTAATTATTTAATAACGATCCATGGTTATATCATTTTCAAGTTGTGAATTTTCGATTTTCTTTTATATTCTTTTACAGAGAGAGAGAGGATGCAAAATAAATGGAAGTTTGTTTTGTTGAATTTGTTCATAGAGAATAATCTTTCTTCGCTACAATTCGATGTAAGAATGTTCGGTAATGGTGGTGTTGGTGATGGTGGTGGTGTTGGTGGTTATATACGCAATTGTGTTTAAATATTAAAAAGTGCATAAATTCAATAGTATTGTATTTGTGGTAGTGGATATCGTTGGTTAGCAGGCCGTGTGTACGAATTGTCAAGACTTTGATAATTTGACACCAACATCGATGCTAATTGGAGGAGAAATAAAATGTAATTAAAATTAAGTAAGCAAAATTAGAATGAGATAAAGAAAAAATATAACACAAATAACAAAAGGTAGACAGAGCTAAGAAGAAAGAAAGAACGAGAGAAAGAAACAAAAGCCAGAAATAAAGAGGGAGAGAGAAAGAGAGAAAGAGAGAAAGAGAGAGAGAGAGAGAGAGAGAGAGAGAGAGAGAGAGAGAGAGAGAAAGAAAGAGAAAGAGAGAAAGGCGGTCGAAGTTAGAATATTTATTAAGATTAATACAAAGAGAGAAAACATTCAATTTTATATTTTGCAGTAGCCATAAAGTGAGTTGCAGCGGTTTTCAGTCAAGCTATAAAATGCATTTGTTTTGAAAGCCTCTCTCGGAGACGATTTAAAATGATACAATATTGTGCAAAAGCTTTATAGCGTTCCTTGCTGACTTGAAGAGATGTAAACAAAAGATATCCGCACTTACGTCTGGAGCCCATTCGTGAAATAGTTGTCTCCGTGCCCAAACTCATCGCACGACCCAACTCGCCTCTAACTGCTTTTAGCGATTTTAAAATCTCATCGGGATCTTTGCGAGCTACCGACGAACGACGACGGCCGACTAAGTAAGTGGAGGATGGTGGAATCATATCCTCTTCACGATTTTTTTCGGCATCTTGGAACGATGAACGTCTAGAACCCGGTAGCGAACGTGAAAAATCTTTGCTTAGTTGATAAACTTCAATTTCCATTGTCTCTGATTGCGATGAGCCGCGCCGCGAACCCGCTATCCAGGCATGATCTGGATGCAATAAAGACGCGCTCTCACCAATCGAGCCTACATCGTCCGAAATGGATCGCTGTATATTGTAGTCTCGCCTTAGCAAACGTGAAACATCGCCTCCAGGACAGCCAGCGGCCAATGAGCCACGTGGTGATACGCTGGGGGACTTGGACATGCTGATGCCACGCAGGCCTTTTGGGTCTTCTAATCGACACCACAATGCTCGATCATCAAGAAAGGCCTGTTGTAATTCAATATTGCATTCACCCAGAAATATTGATTCTGTGTGAGGTACTAAATCCCACAGCTGCACATCTATATAGCGATCCATGAGGCTATCGGCTTTCACGTGAGCAAATATCAGAGTTGCATTCCAAATCGGATTTTGTGTAGGCGGACTGACTTCAGTTTGTTGTACAGAACCGTCGCCGCTGCGTTAATACGAAATGAAATAATCAAATGTATAAATGTTAAAAAAAAAAAAAAAAATAAAAACAAAAAATATTAATAATAAATAAATAAATAAATAAATAATGATTTCTTTTTGATAAATTTTATTAATTAATATATGTCGTCAAAATTTACCATTTGGGTAAGATGCGTACTTTAGCATAAGCTTCGGGCATATTGCCGTGACCGTAAGCCTCGTCACGTAATGCCAAATCATCGGCTGCCATTAGAGAGACCACCAACTCGCAACGTTCAGCGTGATACCAAACTTGTATTTGTACGCGCCCACTTACTTGTTTTTCGCGAGCAATTTGTTCCTACATTTAAGCCGCCATCGCAATCGTTTGCGTTTCGTATTTGAGGCACATGCATATTATAAATAAAATGGGAATAGCATTTTAGTAAATGGTAATATTAACAAAATTATTATTTCGCATCTATGCACATAACGTACATGTCAGTCAACTTATTTGAAATGATCATAAAGTGTAATATTATAGTTTCAGCCTTTAATGTGTGACTGTACTATGTACGCTTTACGACAATCATTCAATTTGAATGATTTGAAATGGATTTCAAATTTTCAAATTTCAAATATAACTGCTTACGTAACCCTTTAACATTTCGAATTTTGAAAAACATGAATTTAATTTAATTAAGCGAATCCGCGTTAAAGTCGAGTTGTGGCAAATAGTTTGCATGCGCTTATTAAAAAGGATTACTATGCATTACTTTACCGTTATTACATAATGTTAAAGGATTATCCTAAATGTATATATATATAAAAAAAGGGAAAGTTTTCGACTTTTTTTTTTTTTTTTTTTAATTCTCATTTCATTTTTTTCATTTCGTTTTTGTTTCCTTTTTTTGTATTATTTTAAAAGTTCACTTTTGCTTTTTCTTTTTTTTTTTTGTTTTTTTTAAACAACATGTATGCTCGTTCGACTTGCTGGGCATCACATGTATTGTTTTATGTGCTATAGTAAATGTGATAATGTTTTTTGTGTCAAAATAATAATGAATAATACGAAGAAAGAAAAAGAGAGAAAAAAAAAAAAAAAAAAATGAAGAAATAAATAAATAAAAAATAAATATAACAATGGCAAAGCAATATATAAATATTATATATATATATATATATATATATATGTATAGGTGAATATATTGCAAAAAAATAAATAAAAAATTTCAAGTTGAAAAAAGTTTAATTGAATCGGTAAATTGTCATCATGCACTAATTTAAATTTCTACACTACTCGCATAATTACATATCTTTGAATATTTTATTACACACAAAGCGATTACAGTCTTAATGAAATTACGTTCAAATATAATAAACTAAAGGTAATGAAAATAATGAATTTTATTTGTTTTGGCTTATGTGGTAGAAAATGACGAGCACTGCACTGCGTTCTTTTTTCATAAAACATAAACAAACGTTAACGTATACTATATACAATGCATATTATCCTTTTAAATGCAGGCGAGAAAAATATAATGAATGTTACTGATATGTAGTAATAAATTTTTCACTTGATTTAATCACATCCGATTATGTAAAATGTTTCCCGCTCTTGCTCTTCATCTTTCTCCTGCCTTTTTCGTACATTGTAAAAGGAAAAGCTTACACAAGTTGCCACAAAAAAAAAAAAAGGAGACAAAAGGAGACGTCACATTAATCAAACCTAACATAATTAAGCAATCAGACGACAATTGGGTCTGGCTGGAATTGAATTGGACAAGTAAAATGCTATAGTCGGACGAGACAAGGAAGTTGCATCACTCGTGAGAAAAAACCGAAAGTTATACTTCCAAGTAAGGGCATCATTTTTCCTTCTTCCTATATGAAAGAGGGCCGAAAGCGTACGCTGGCGTGATCTCAATGGAGCACAATTAATCTTCATGTTCTTCATATTGCCATATTAAGGCATTTTATCGGATGCGATCCCAAAGATACACTTTCCTTCCAAATTTAGTACAGTGTTAAGACGAATCAATTTTCATCGCAATATATTAAAAAAAATTAACCCTTTTATATTCATCTTTTCAAAAGGTTTGCAACGCTCAAAAGGATGCTTCACCCCACTATTTATATATATATATATATATATATATATATATATATTCTTAATCAGTATCAAATTCTTAGTCGATTTAAGCATGTCCGCCTGGCTGTCCGCTGTTGTAAACATTTCTTTGGCCGCAATAATCAAGCTATCGTTTCTAAATTTTGCAGAAACATTGAGAGTCCTTGTACACAGGTTGCTAGTGAAAAAGGAACAAATCAGTCGAAAGACACGCCCACAGCACCATCTAAATTGGAATGCAAAAATTATTATCACACTTTTCTCTGACAAAGCTCGTTGATCGTTTGGCTTATGCCGACCAGTATTTTCATACTGCTTGGGCTTGCTCTTGGGGAAATTTTATTTGAAGCTTTTACATTTCCTACCAAGCATCTTAACGGCAACGCTAACTTGTTGTGCATGCTTTGATTGCTTAATCAAACGAAGCTCATAGGCTTATCGGGCAATTGTGGCGCTTCTCAGCTTGTGAAGAAAATACGGCAATTGAGGAGAACTTTTCTAAAACTTTCACCTCCTCACAAAGCGAGACCTATCTGCATCTCTAATTATTTAATGGTCTGGCGTCAGATGCTATGTTCCCTTGGATTATTACTGTGCAAGCAGTAGATATCAACCCAGTAGGTGTTATATAGCAATTTCCGTTAGTACTACATACAGATCTGTTTGTTGAATGTGGAAAGGTTGGTCATTGGAGCTGAATTCTTAGAGAAGTCTGAGAGAAATCTACAATCCGAGAATCCCTGACACTTTCGATGATTTCTCCACGGTGTGATTCTATCAGCCGGGATGTTAAACATGGTCTGGTATGATTTTTCTTTTCCTCAAATTGACAAAAAAACCTATAGGGTACAACATTCTTCTATAGTTGATGAGATAAAGAGAAAATCGCACTGATCATAGACAAAGATGTACAACTTTTTCAATAGACATCTCATATATTTTAAGTAAGTGGGGCGAACATCAACTTCACAAAAAAAAAAAAAAAAAAAAAGTGATTATGACAACTGAGCTTACATTCGTATATTACAAAAAAAAAAAAAAAAATAAAAAAAAATTTTTTGTTATCATCCCTCGTACATATGTGTATTCGATGGCATTTATGAGGTTCAAACGCAACACAATACTTTAAACGACTTGTTACATATATGGTGAAGCCAGACATCTATATCGGAAACAATAAGCTACGAACGACATATGCGTGTACATACAAATCTATTTAAATGCGCAACATATGAATAAATAGCGTTTAATTATTTGCACAATATTGTATACATTGACATGTCGATTTATTATTATTATTATTATTTATTTTTTTATTTTTTATTTTTTTTTACATAACTATCGCAGGAATTATGAGCATATGTAGTTAAGTTATATGTAGTAGAAGTAAATGTGATGAGAACGATAAACAATAATGACAACAGCGACAGCATAACGTAGGAGTATTTGTAAGACACACACACAAATTACGTACGTTTTATATTATGAGAAACTGTTTAGGAAAATTAATGCTTAACGATTAATGAGCTGTGGAAGTAATCAATGCAATTTTCGCTCAGTTGCACTCTTTCTTATATAAGAAGATAACCCATTCTTTATATAAATTTGTAAATAAGAATATTTTCATATATATATATATTAATAAAAAAAAAAAAAAAAATATATATATATATATATGTATATATATATATTAGATTTCTATTAAATTTTTATAAAATATTATCATACACAAGGCAAAGTTTTCGTGTGTTTTTAAATACAATTGTGTAATATACGCCTTCTTGCTGTTCTTGTTCAGTCCATTTGTTTATACTAAAATTTACAAAAAAAAAAAAAAAAAAAAAAAAAAAAAAAAAAAGAATATTTTATTAAACATTTATCTTCATTGCATAATCACGACAAGGCATATAAGTACTGTTTGAAATCATTCAAATCAATTAAATTAAATTGAACTCAACTTAAAATTCGTGTCTTTTTTGTGATCTAAGAAATTTTAGAAAAACTAAATGCGTTCATTGCAAGTTCATATCCTTAAGAGTTTTTTTTTTTTTCTTTTTTTTCTTTTTTTTACAGTTAAATACAATTTTCACTAAATATTAAAGGAGATCTCTAAACTTTACATACATACAAGTATTTATAAATATGAACATATGGGTATATAATAAATATAATTTTTTAGAGATAATATTTAGCTCATAGCAGTACAATATAACTCGTGCCAGCTGGGGTTAAAATAAAGTAAAAGAAAAAAAAAAATAACAAAAATTTTTACAAATAAAAAGTTTTGCAAGAAGTTGAAATAAAATTAATGAAATAAACAAAAACTTTCGCTAAATACATAAACTTTAAAAGCAAATAAAAACGAAATTACAAAACAATTAAATTCAAAATGTGTATTAGTGTTGTCTGGTTTTTCTTTGTGACTTGTTGGTGAGCAATTATTATTGGACACATTCCTTATAAAACTCGATTTTGAACAACAAACCTTTTCATTAATTATTATCAAAGTTTCTTTTTTTTTTCTTTTTTTTTTTTGTTTCTTAAATTTTTATACATATTTGAGTAGAAAGTGTTCGAAGAAAATATGATCTCATGGTGTACGTGTGTGAATGATCGACTAGCATGCGTGTATACCTATATGTATGTGTGCGTACCAAATGCAACCTCTCGTTTCGATAACCCTTCCTTATCAATAATTCTCTTATCTATCCATTAACATTCTGACAAAGTACATCGTGTATCCGAAGTTGTGAGTTTGCGATAGGGTCAAATTTTGGCACTTGGCCAAGCGCATTTGCAAACTAGGGAAAGCCCTTAGGTTCATCTATCATTTGTCTTAGACGAACAGTAGTGATAATGCGTACAATTGCAATTAAGAATTAATGTAAAGTCTTTGAGAAAAATTGGAAAGTAGGCAGTGTTTTTTCTGCTTTTCAACTGGAATACAAGTCGAGTTATTTTGGTCTTTTATACGGATGCCTGGGTGACTCGTTCTCATTTGCATTTTGTAAAATCAAAACGGACAAAATTTATTGCGGTTTCTGTAATCTCTTGCAAATTCGATATTGAGTAGTTGAGTAGATCAGGGGCGTGAATCAAATCTCATTGCCGCTTACTATACTACGGCCTATCCACCATCTTCCTATCTCTGCCTCTTTCCTCACGTCTTTCGAACCGTCACAGAATTTTACGAATACATAATAAGGGGGACATCGCCTAAATAATTGGTT